CCACCTGGCGACGGACGCGTCGGGGAGGAAACTGGCCGTGAAGGTCCAACACCGAGGCCTCCGGGAGCTGAGCCGAGGGGACGTGGCAGCCGTCTCTTTTTTCGTCAACGCGGTGGCGGCGGCGTTTCCTGAGTTTAGGTGAGGGGCGTGGGCGCACACGGGGGACTGGGGCCCTTAAAGGGAAGCATGCAGGGGGTCGCCTCGATGGGTCGAGATGGGGCCGTGACTGGCTCCGGTGAGTGCCGACGTTGACCCGAGATTTGAATTCAAACCGACAGTTACAAATGGATATCGGACGAGCTGGCCCCCCAGCTCCCCAAGGAACTGGACTTCGTGAACGAGGCTCTGAACGCGGAGCGGGCGGACGCCTTCTTCCAGCGGCACAGGACTGACGTCGTGGTAGGCAGGGCGATGACCCCCCCTTCCACCCTCTCGCACCCTGTGCCTCTCCTGTCTTGGGTGGATGCTCACCACGCGACGCCCTCCTCCCCCGCCCAGGTCCCGGAGATCGTGTGGGCTCAGACGCGGCCGAGGGTGCTGACCATGGCCTTCGAGGAGGGGGTCTGCGCGACGGACGTGCCGGCCCTGCGGGAGCGAGGCTTGCCGCTCGACAAAGTGGCGCACCTTATCTCCTCCGTCTTTTGCGAGCAGGTGGGCCTTCTTTTGGAGCTTTCGTTCATCTTCCCCCCCCCTACGAGCTCTCTCGGCACAGATTCAACCCCTGCGCGGCCCCCCTTCCCCTGCCTCCCTCCAGGTCTTTTCCTCCGGTTTCGCGCACTGCGACCCCCACCCCGCCAACGTCCTCATCCGCGGGGGACACAAGGGCGACCCTCGGGCCCCCGTCCTCGTGCTCCTCGACCACGGCCTCTACAAGGAGCTGCCCGACCAGCTACGCTTGGACTACGCATCTCTGTGGAAGGCGCTTGTCCTCAAGGACCTGCCGGGCGTCAAGTACTACTGCCAAAAGCTCAATGCGGGTAGGGTCGGGGGGGAGGTTGTAGGGGTAAGGAGCAGGATGGGCTTGCGATGCGTGCGCCTCTACCTCCTCTTTGAAACTGATCTGATGACGACACGCGCTTGGAAGGAAACTCACCGTCCTTCCTTCTTCCTCCTCCTCAGGCGAGATGTACTCCCTCCTGGCCGCCATCCTGACCTCTCGCTCCTGGGACGACATTACCAGCCCCGACCTGGGCTCTCTCCAAACCCCGAGCAGCAAGGAGGACAAGACCTTGATCCGGAGCTACGCTCAGCGCTACTACTTCGAAATCGTGGACATTCTGAACAGCGTGCCTCGGGAGATGCTATTGTTGTTGAAAATGAACGACTGCCTTCGGCATATTGATCGAGCGTTGGGGGCCCCCGTGGACTCCAGCCTGGTCACAGCTGAGGAGAGCGTCAAAGCCCTCCTGCGGGAAGAGCTGAAGAAACCGGGGCGATGGGGAAGGAAGGCGAGTGCCTGGTGGGACTTTTTGAAGTGTGAAATGAGAATCAAAACGTATCTATCTTGGCTGCGGTTGCAGCAGTGGAGGACGCCTTCGTCGACGGGAGAATGTGAAGAGTGGGGAAAGGAAGTGGAAAGCAAAGGAGGGGTAATCGTGTAAAGTCATACGGGATGAAGAGGCGATCAGAGGAAAGGTTCTGTCGTGTGACGAAATGCACGGAGGCAATGCCAGTCGTGTGTGAGAGATGCCAAAGAAATAGCTTTCAGATACTCTCGGATGGCCACATGTTCGCCGATTGCAGAACCTTCTCCACCAAAACTTTCTTTCCCTCCAAATTTCTTGAGTAGACTTATCATATTGGTAGGGAAAGTGGGCATTTCTACGCTACGAGCTGTCTCGAGTCTGTGACACGGCGTCTGCAGCAAACATAGATGTTTGGGATCACGCTGGCCTCGAGGGCAGGGCCGTCACACCTATTAATATTTGGTCATCCATGAATGATGATCGATAAATCGACGGCCAGTCATGAATTATGCTTGAGCCTGCGCCCACCCGGAGGTGGAAGTCGTCCCAGTTCCCTTTCACAACCATCTATCCATCCAGTCGCTGCGCATCCGAGTGCTGGCGGCGCTCACTCAATGTGAAGCCGCTATCCGAAAAGAGGCGCTCGGTGTCGGCGGAGGAGGGGAGCAGGTACAGGATCACGTGGGCGAAGCACACAACCGGCATGCGCTCTCTCTTTTTCAACCCCGAACGACACGAGAGATAACTCATCTCCTCCATCACCGGCAGCCCGTGCATGGTGATGTACTTCGACACGAGCATTCCGTCACAACGGGAGTTGTCTCTTCATTTCAATACCCACGCCGCGGAGAGTGGGAACTTTCATTTATACCATCAACGCTGGACCTCCAGGACATGAGGAAAGAAGAGTCGATTCCAGCAAAGGAATTTAAGGAGCAGGACATGTCATTGATACCCCAGCGGTTGCTGTGGTGCAGTTCGGATAGTATTTCGCAAGCCTCTTCCTGAGCACGCCCAGAGGACCGCCATCTTGCGAGAAGAATTTCAAGCCCGTGGCTTTGTGAATACTCTCTCTAGAGTGTCGTGGATTTTCAAGCATTAGATGTGTCGATATTTGCAGGAGTGGCACGCGGTGGCAAGGTCTGGCTGCTGTCCTGGAGGTTCCTGCCCGGCAACACTCTTGCGAGTAGGAAAATCCATGACACCTCACAAAAAGACGGTCAGGTCTTGTGGTTGTGTGATTACCAATTATCACCAAATCGGCCATTTGGCTCCATATGACATTCGGAAACCTACAGTCTCATTTAATTGCCCGCATGAATCCTAGCTGCTTTTGACAAAGAATAGAGGTACTTTAAAATGGCGGGGGCAAGCCAGATTCGAGATTTACCTTTTTGCTACCACCCTTCCCACATATCCTTGTCATAATCGTTTTATCTAATACGTTGTGTTTATTTGCATTGTTCATCCACCTTCGCCGCCACCTGCTCAAAAGCAGGCAGGAATCGAGCAGGAATAGTCTTCAAGACGTTCTCACCATGCTCTTCGAGAAGCTGTTCCAGGTGAACTTGACATGGAAGCGAGGAGTTCACGTCGTTGAAGACAACGCGCATATCTCCGGAAGCGTCTTTGGCCCAATCAAAGTAGAGCAACCGGGAACCCTTCTTCGCCATATCATTCAAACCTCGCCGCTCTTGCGCTTCCCACAAGCTAGCCAACGCTTTCAAATCGAAACATTGCTTAGGCAGTAGATCTTCCAAAGGCTTTAGAAGGGGAGCGACGCACAGAATCCCAGGAACTCTGGTGGCACCAGCGACATGTGCAGGCTCCTGGGCCGGCGGTTGGGATGCTGTCACAGACGTTGTCGTTTGAACCGTCAAGTTGCCCCAACGCCATCGATAAAATAGATCCGCGGTGGAAAGCGAAAATGGAGTAAGTGAGGTATTGAGTTTTGTCAGCTTCCTTCCTTCCTGAAGGCTCCCTCCGTCGCCCTTGTCTATTGTCGCGTCCTCCTCCATCTCCAGTTCCATTACTTCCTGTACCAGGACTTCCCAGGGGTCTTTCTGGGCACCCATCACGCCGTTGTAATGTACAATTACCATATTTTCGGGACCAAAATTTCTGCCGTATGTTTCTAAGACACGATTGTAGCACAAGCCATTGACCGAAATAGGTCCGAAAGTAGTGGGCAAGGTGGGCAGTGGATCTGACACACCCGCCTCGGGGTCTACCTCCGCCATCATGTCCCCCAAAAAATCACTGAAGTGCAAGGGGGACGTAAGTGGATTCCTCATTGCGGAAAACTGACTGTAGTAGCTGACGATATGTTCCTGCTTGCGTCGGTGGTAAAGCACCACCGTTGTTTGAAAATTCGAAAAAAGCTTTGTCAGTTTCGCCACCATTTCATCGTTGAGATTGTCGTAGCTTTCGCTGGAGATAAAGATATTTTGTGAAGCATTGTCGCGATAGATTGTGTCCAGAATCGTCGTCAACTCGCTGAGAGGATCTTCAGTGCAGTACTTCATTCCTTCTATTTTCCTGCCTTGAAGTTGCATGGGAACCGCATGAAAAGATTTTTCATCCCGAGAACAACCCGTAGGCAGGATAATGCCTCTTTGCATCAGAAAATCTCGTGATTGCACCATTTTGGTCTGAATGTATGTTGTGGCCGTCTTGTGTGCACCGATATGAAGAAAGAGCTTCGGCTTCTTTCTCACTTGCGCCAGCGCAAACTTGTCTTGCAAGTGAGAGGGTAATATTGTTGTTGATAACAAGACAGTACAACCAATGACTATCAGGACAAGGCGCGAAACTAAGGCCCATCGGAGACAAGCTTTAATCACGCGTGGACAGCCAAATAGTGATGAGCTCATGACGCTTTTGCTGGGGTTGACAGGGCTTTCATCACGCCTCATGTCAAATGTCGCGCCAAGCTTGCTGTCCAGAACGGCATTCATGATCGGTGTACACGATGTTCGAATGTGAAAGGCGAGTAATGTCCGCTGCTGTCTTTCGACAATCGAGATGAGTAGAATGTGCGTTAATATACGTTGTGATAATATCGTATACTTACAATCAGACAAATACTCTGCTTCCCACTCACTATTCCGAAGTTATCACAGCCAGAGCTTCAAATCTTCCTCAAAACGGATCACATAACACCAAAACAATTATTCACGACACCAAAGCCCGGTATTTTCCACGCACTGCCTGGCAGGGTGCAAGCTGTATGGGCCGCGGTCGGTTACTTCCGGGGTATCTCCGAGGATCGAGCGAGGGACGCTCGCCCTCGCTCGCCGGCGTCCCTTCAACACGCAGTCTCGACCTGGAGGCACGCAAAGGACCCGTGGCAACTGAGCACCCATCCCACATCTTCAGGACATTGTCATGCTGAAAATTGTTGTCGACGAAGGGCTTCGCGACCGCTTGTTGCAGAATGTGGCAGCTGGTCCCAGGTGTCAAGTTGGGGCCATAGTTGGCCGTCGGCTGCCGAATGGGAGCCGGATATATTGCCTGCTCGCCATCCCCATCCCCATGCACTGTGAGGAGACAGGCAAAAATGTAAATAGGAAGGACCGCTCGGATTCGGAGGAGGAAGCGGTACGATGGGCATGTTTAGCGGATGTTTCTCGCCGGAGGGTGGAGTTGCACGTTAAGCAGGTGAGACAAACAGAGGGGGGAGGTCACGGGCCCTGATGGATCCCAGTTGCTGGGCTGGCACAGTGCCTTGCTTGGCTTCTTACTCTATCATGGAATAATTCGGACAGTTGACGCGGCTTTTGGTCGGTGGCTTGAGTGTATGCGGCCTGTACGCCATCACACCCGAGCCCGGTACGCCCGCCGTAACGGCCTTGAAGCGGCTTTGTCCTCCCTTCGCCTCGTCCCGCGGCCGTCGTACTCCCCATGAGGCCTTTCCTGCCTCGCCTCAGGGCCATGAACCGCCCGCTGCACACGACCTGGCCTGGCTGCACGTGAATGCGTCCAGCCGGCAGTTCACCTGGCGCGTGGGCCCCCCAGGAGGTGAGATGAGGCCCGGGGAGGTAACGTCTCAGGCCCGGCTCCTGAGCAGGTTCGTCCCATGGCACAGCATCGTGCACGTGGACTTGGAGGTGGGTCTCTCTGACGTTTGGATTGGAGAGGAGGGGGGAGAATGGTATGATGATGAGGGAGGGGAAGGGAAAAGGAAGGCGGTGGTAAAGAGGGCGGGAGGGAGGGCAGGAGGCGATGGGAATCATGGTTTGGGCGAGACCTTCTGGTCTACTGTGCTGCGGGCAGTCTACCTAGAAGGGGAAAACTTCAAAAAGGCGAGGGCCTTCCCCTCGCCGATACCTCCTGCCCCCGCCCCTACCCCAGTGGCCCTTTGCGACGCCGAAGTCAAGCCAGGAGGGGGCGGAGGGGGTGGTTCTACCCCTTCCTCCCTCCTTTCCTATGCGACTTTCAGGCGGGATGACGAGGGGAAACGGCGCCTGGACTTCTATGCTCCATGGCTGGACAATCTGGACGAGGAGGGGGAAGATGCGGGAGGAAGGGGTGGGGGAAGAGGGGAGGGGCCTGGGGAGACGAGCCCCCAGGGTCAAGGAGGTTCACAGGAGGAAGCAAGAGAGGGGGAGAGGGCCGGGCGCCGTATGCGGATGGTGGGATCGGTGGTGTGCGTGGCTGTTCAGCTGGCAGAGGAAGACATGGTTGCGGCAGTGGCGGGCCTCAAGGCGGACTACGCCCGCACGCTCCTGGAGAGGGTGCAACTGCTCCGGGAGGGCAGGAGAGGGGAGAAGAACGTGCTTCGATCTTCGTGGCAGCTCCCCCGGCGGGTGTTTCTGGCCTCCTCGCACCCATCCTCCCCGTCCTCCACCCCCGCCCTTCCGTCCTATCGCATCCTGCTGGGCGAGTATTTGCATGCCGAGCCCAGCAAAGGGAAGGGTGCGATTGGAGACAGAGAAGCGCACGCTCGTCTGGAAGAAATACTCAGGGCAGGAACCTTCATTCCCGGATGCACTCCTTCCTCGCCGCCGGCCCAAGCCCCCGGGCCCCCGCGCACGATTTCCAGGCTCTGCGCCTGGGAATGCGACGCGCCCGCCTTACTCCTGGTCCCTCCGGCACCGTGCCATGGCGGGGTTGATGCTCAGGACAGCGGTCTGGATCCAGTAGCCAGAGGGGCGTCAGTCCCCTCTTCCGTGTCCGTCGGGGCAGGGACGGCCAGCAAGGGGGAGAAGGAAACAAAAGAGACCTTCTCGACGACCTTGCCCGCATCCAAAGCCGCAGCTAGCCCTCAAGAAGAGGCGAGAGAAAGCTCTGTGCCAGTCAGACAAAGGCGGGCGTCTCTGCCACCCAAGGGAGGGGCGTCGACCCCCTCCGTGCCCCCCCACTTCCTCCTTCCTACCTCTAAGTCCGCATGCTCTCCCTCTTCCCCAACGCCCCTGGCCTTGGCCACGAGGCTTGCCATGGTGCTTGCAGGAGTCGTTCTACTGGGCGTGGCTGCTTTTCTGAAGAGCCGAGGGTCAGTGTGAGCCGGCGAGAGCAAGGAGCCATGTAGGGAAAGTATTCCAAAGCAATATTTACCCGTCACCTGTAACGCGGGCACACACAGCATCCTCGCCAAATGGGTCTTGTCTGTGCCTTCTTTCTTCCCCCGTCCCCTCCCTTATTCTTCATTTCCCCGCTTTGAAGCGCCTTGTGTCTCGCCTCGTTCACAGGGAGCCTGCGGGCCATCAGACTTCTCTCTATTGACACAATCCCGTCTTCTTCCTCACCCCATGACCTGCCCACCACCCCCTCGCTACCTTGTCCCCGCGCTCGTTCAACCATACCGCGCCCCTCGCTGCGAGAACCAGTCGAAGGCCCCCTCGGCGTACCCCACCACCACGCTCTTGCTCTGTGTGTAGTCCATCCAGGCCTCCCGCCCGTTCTCTCGCCCCAGCCCGCTTGCTGCCGTCACCCCGCCCCAGGGGGACGCGGGCGCGTTTCGATGGTGCTCGTTCAGCCAGATTACTCCTGCCTGCAAGCTGTCCGCCACCCGGTGCGCGCGACGTCCGCATTTCGTGTGCACGCTGGCCCCGAGCCCGTAAGGAGAGCGATTGGCCAGGGCCACGGCCTCCGACTCGGAGGCGAAGGGGAGGAGGCAGACGACGGGGCCGAACACCTCCTCCTGCATGATTTCCATGTCAGGATGGACGCTGGTGAGCGCGGTGGGCGGGTAGAAGAATCCGGAGGCCAGGTGCCGAGGGAGAGATTGAAGCGGCGAGGCGCCCCGGACGGGGGTGGGGGTGGGGGTCGTGGGGGAGGACGACGGGGAGGAAGCGATTGAGCCCAGCCCTCCGCACAATACCTTGGCTCCCTTTGTCTTGGCGCGTTCTACGAAGCCGTGCACGCGCTCCAATTGCGCTCGGGAGATGAGCGGTCCCACGTCCGTTTCCAGGTGTAGGGGGTCGCCGAGGCGCAGGCCCTGGGCCTTGGCCGCAAAGCGGGCGGCGAAGTCGTCGAAGATGGACTCGTGCACGAGGAGGCGGCTGCCAGAGACGCATGTCTGGCCCGCTGCCACGAAGGCCCCGAACGCACACATGTTCACCGCCTCGTCCACATCCACGTCCGGGAACACGAGCATTGGGGTCTTCCCGCCCAGCTCCGCCACCACCTTGGCCAGGTTTTTTCCCGCCACACAGGCCGTCATCCGACCCGTATCCGTCCCGCCCGTCAGGTCTACCTTGCGCACTCTGGGGTGTGCGGCTAAGGCTCTCCCCGCCACCTTGCCCTGCCCAGGCACGATGTTTAGGACACCCGGAGGTAGCCCCGCGTCCCGGGCAATTTCTCCGAGGGCCAAAACGGCCAAGGGGGCCAGTTCGGGGGGTTTCAAGACCACGCTGTTGCCCCCGGCCAGTGCAGGGGCGAGTTTTTTAACAGCAATTAGGAGGGGGTGATTCCAGGGAGTCAAAAGCGCGCATACCCCGAGTGGGACCCGTCGGACATAGTTCAAGTACGGTCCGGGGAACGGAGGCAGGCTCCCTTCTTCTGTGCGGACCAGGGCTGCGAAATATTCGAACCATTCGGGCAGACGGGAGAGCTGGGCCCGCATTTCTCGTAGCGGGCGGCCGGTCTGCAAGGACTCGAGGCGGCTCAACTCCGGGAGGCGTTTTTCCAGTCCGTGAGCCATGTTCAACAGCACCTTGCTCCGCCCTTTAACGTCTGTCTCTCTTGACCATACGCCAGAATGGAAACTTGACTCGGCAGCCTCGACAGCTACATCAATATCCTGGGCTAAAATAAGAAATCGACGAAGAGCGAAATAAAAACGTGGAAGGCTTCAATAAACTACAGGTGCGCCCCTCGAACTCCAAATCAGTCAGGTTATGAAGATCAAAATTAGCGCACCTTCCGCAATGCTCACAACATGACCGAGGTCTTTGCGTGTGGCTGGATTTTGTAGCGTGTGCGTCAAACCTTTTAAGGCCGGGCGACTTTGGTCGTTAATCCAGAGCCCGTGGTGCTTGGATCTAGGGTTACAAGACGGATAAAAATGGCGTCTGAAAGGTTTTAGACGACAATGTGACAAGGATCGGTGCGTCTGCCCAGGTAGATACTTGGAAATGTAGGAGACGATGGAGTTCATGTTGGGGGGGTAGGGGAGGTATTATGGTAGCGCGGATAGCGTGCAGTGAGAGGCGCGCTTCAGCACATGGAGAAAATGGAGCCAAAACGCCCGTTCCCCGGCTCGTCTGTCAGTGAGTGGGAAAAAATCAGCATTTTTTGAATGCATGACGGCAGTACGGCGCCAGCTTGAGGCTTGTGGCAGGCGGGAGGGACGGGCGAAAAGCTTGCGGTCTTGCCGGTTCTTCAAGGCTAGCAGCCCTCTCTCCGGAGGCAGGGAAAACCAGTACCGGTCGGGCTGGGGCGCACACCAAGCTATCCTGCCCGTGGCCACACCTCATCTTTGTCATCAACATAGTGCTTTTCAGTGGGATGGGTAATCCTCTTGTCCAAGTTTGAGTTTGACCTGTCTCGCGTGCTTTTCGTCTTACCCTCCCTGCCACAACGCGGGCCGAGTTGACTTGAAGCTACCACATGCACACTAGCCCTCTTGCGTGACGCGCTTCGTCAGCGTTCATTACAATAGGCTTCTATGTGACTGCGCACGGCGTGAACTAAGCCCAACAGTGGGCACGGGAGTTTTGGATGGAGTCTCCCGTCTTGATTGTGCGCTTGGAGACCGCAATATCAAGAATCATGGAAACGGGAAATGCATGGCCAAACTTTGAGACAACACACGTGTCTGGTACCAACATCTCTTCCGCTTCTTTTTCGCCTTCGTATATTCTCTCGTGTTTTTGTTGACTGGTACCCGTACCGTGATTTCTTGGCAAGGGCCGCAAAGAAAGGAGGAGACACTATAATCCCGTATTGCATCTCTGCTTCTTTGGCCCGTGGCTGAAAAGGGGCCTGTCTAACAACCTTTTGGCCCTCATAAACCCTCACACAGGTCTGTCGTGGTGTTATCGGTATCTCTAGGGCTCCGGACCAGAGCTTGAGATTCATGCCTCGGCGGGGGTTGCGCAGCGAGAGCGGGGACGGGAGGCGCGAGCAGGTCGACGGCCTGGAGGAAGAAAGCCATCGGCGCATCAGGTCGCACAGCAGAATTGCCGGCGCCAGTCGCGGCGTACGAAGGAAAGCCAACCGGCAGCTTTCTGAAGAAGTGTCGGCTAGCGAAGCCCTGCCCGGGTGGTCCCTGCCCCCCCCCTCCTGCCTGCACCGTTCTGCGCGCTGGCACCTCCTCGGGCCGACCTCGAGGTCGGCCAAGAAGCCAAAGCGAGGGCCTGGTGCCTGGCGGCACACCTCAGGAAGCCAGGGATCTGGGTTGGCCTACTCGCCCTCTTCTTCCTCCTCGGGCGCTCTCGGGATTCAGGTGTCAAG